GGATGGTGGAAATGATCCAGTGCACCCAGCTCTAGATGGAGAAGGAAGTCCACTAAACTTTTGGCTTGGGTTCTGTTCTCAAGCCTCCTAAGTAGTTAAGAGTAGAAATGGGAGCCCCTGGTGCCAAGCAGTATCAGTATTTTTAAAGCAACTAGACATATATATGAGTTAGGCTTGTCATTACCTCAGGAAAAGAATAAAAGAGCTGTGAAGCACCAAGGATAGTCAGAATTTTAACTAGCTACTCAGAGGCTGAATCAGCTTAGCTAGCTACTCAAGAGCATGAGATCTGAAGACCACTGTTCAAAGCCAGTCCAATCGTGAAAATACATGTGATATCTGCAAAAAATCAGAAGTGCAGCAGTGGCTCGAGTGGTAGACCACTATCCTTGGGCATAGAAGCTTAGGGATAGTGCCCAGGCACTATCAAGCTTCAGGAATGATGAATACATGCATGAGCACCTGCAGATGTGCGTGTGCATACACACGTGCGCGTGAACACACAATCACACCAATGCGACCTTCTTTATTTTTTTACCTTGTTGTACCTTATTGCCATGTATTAGCTCACAAATTAACAAAATCAGCTAAGCAGCTATTTACATGCAACTGATCATATTTCTCTAAAGTCTATTCTCTTTTAGCAAGCCTGCTTTTATTTGACCCAAAAGTAAATTATTCAGGAGGGCAATTCATCTCCCTCAACTCTGTAGTATTATATGATTGTTTAGGTTCTTCCTAGCTATATGATTTTGTGAAATCCCGCATCAAACAGCGTATTTCTTTCACGAGAAGGGAAGTCTCTGTCAAACAATTAATAATAGGTTTTTGTCCTCCTGCCAAGCATCTATAGTTTTATTATCTTCATCTATTTCATGATCTGTCTGTGTATGCCAAAGACTGCTGTGAAAATAAAAAAGATCCTTTTCAGCACTTAGCATTCGTATAACATTCAGAGGTATGAAGGTGTTTAAATATTACTGAAATTGCTTTGGAATAAATAAAGTTCACCTTGACTATCTTGAGAAAGAAGAATTGGTTTCCCAGCACTTAGGTAAGAACGTGAGTGAAAAAAAAAAAAAGAAAATTTTGGAACAACTCAACAAATACATTCAAATGAAACAAAAAAAAACAAGAAAACACAAATTAATTCAGTACTTAAAAACCTGCAGGAAATGCAAAGATTTGTTTTAAAAAATCAGCTATGATAAGCTTTTGAGAATCCTGAATACATGGGAGTGTACTGTTGTGAGGACAGTGGTTAAAGCCCAGACTAGACAGAAAGATCTGTACACAATGCCATGTACCTGTTATTCTAAATTCCAGGAAGAATAACATAAAGTGGACTGAGCCTAAGATCATACACAAGGAGGAGGCCAGATTCTATCTGAAAAATAATCACAGAATAATTTAGGGCTGGGGGCATGACAAAGTGGTACGTACACCCATTTAGGAGACACAAGACACTCAATGCAAACTCTATTATGGGTATTGAAGAAAAAAGCTATGACTTCAAATAATTTGAATGATTGTAAGATTTGAGTATTTCAGTGGAGAAAAAATCCATGAGAGAAATAGAGTGAACCCATGTTGTGATCCTTTCTACTTAAGCTATAATTTTGTGTGGTACTCCAGACATAACAGAGTTATCTTGCAAATGAGCATGGATGTGCATTTGGGTGATGGAAATATTCTACTTACACAGCTGTAAATTAGATTTTTTGGGTAGATTGTAGTTCTTGAACTAAGAGCCTGTGTGTTGTCTCTGAGCTTTTTCTCTCAAGGCTACCACTGTACTACTTTGAGCCACAGTTCCAATTTTATTTTCTGTTCGTTGTTTGGAGATAGGAGGCTCATGTACTTTCTTGCCCAAGATGACTTCAAACCATGATCATCAGCTCTCATCTTCCTGAGTAACCAGGATTCCAGGCATAAGTTGTCTATTTTTAAAATAATTTAGTAAATCATACAATTACAGAACTTATAAATTATCATTGCAACCTGTGTAATAGATGTGTGTATGTATATATCAATGCATACAAATAATACAAATAGAAGTATTTTAACGTATCTTTGTATCTACAGTAAATTTATGAAAAATCAACCTTTGTTGTAAAATAAAATGGAAACAAAAGTTATTAAGGAGGAAACCAAAAGGAATTGTCACATGTTTCTTGTTGTTGAATGGAATATGAATTGCGAGAATCAGTTTGGAAAAATCATCTTAATTTAACAAAATGGATAATGGGTATTAATTCCAATCTATTTGCCCATATTGTGCATCCTCACACATGAGTGTCAAAATCAAACCACAATTTTTGCTTTTGTATTTAACGTATTTAGGGGATTGATGAAGTAATCAAATAAAGATTAAAATAATAGTAAATGAGGCTATGAGTTAGAGCTGAAAATGTTTTTAAATATTATAATAGCTAATTAAATTGAATTTTTCTTACTTTTACTCTATTGTCATGCCCCTCATTCCCACATTCATTCCCACATTAGAAAAGTACATAGAAGGTTCTCACTAAATTATTTGTACAATCATGAAAAAAATGTATTGAAAGAATATGGGCACAGTGTGGTTTTAGCTTATTGAGCTAGGGGGTAGTGTGTTATTGAGGACTTGCAAAACGTTGTGATAGAGATGAAAGGAGGGATGTGCTTACTCTGGAAAATTGGCTAGGGGATTGCTCCCAGAAAAATAGTGATGAATTCTTCCAAAAGATACAGTAAATACACTTTCAGAGGTAATCCTCAATACCATTTTCCACAAAGTTTTGTCCCAGATACAATCGGCCTGCCTTCTCTGGCTGCTTTCCTAGCCTGGACCTATTCCTTCACTCTACAGGAAAAGTGTGATACAACTGATTTCAGCAGATCTGTTACTAGAATTATCAGGGATTTAGATTCTTGTCTGTAATTTGGTCAAAGCTATGTCTCTTTATGTAGGCTATTAAAAATGTATTTACTAATTACAAGTAAATACATAAATTCTATTTCCATCTCTTTTAAAAATAAAATTGTTTGCTCTATAAATTGATCAGAGGCATGGATTTTGTGGCTAGGTAGGTCATTGCACATCTGTCTCTCTCATCCTCTCTCCCTTTCTTGGTTCTCATAGATAATATGACTGATCCATAATTATCCTAATTTATTTTGCTTTTATATTTTTGGTTGCATCATTTCACTTTCTGCTCTGCCATTTCCCAAATCATTTACATAGAAGGCATTATTTCATATTTTCTCATTCCTAGAATAAGCTGCACATGAAGACACCACTGGTCCTCATTTTCAGTCTGTACCTTTGAATATGGAGGAAAACCTTTCCTCTGCTCTCTATCAATTCCCTACTCACCAGTTAGAATAATTTCGAATAGTAAAAATGGAAAAAGTGAAAAAAAATCATGGTGAAATAACAGATGTAGAAAATTCACTGGATTTTTCTGACCAGTTCAACCAACGTGAACTATTGGGGAATACATGTGCACCTCATTCCCACTGGTACTCAAATGTCTCTGGTTAGGCAATTCTGATGAAGACAAGGAACAAGATGAAAAAGTGAGGAATGATATCATTTGTAAAAAAAATGGAGAAGTATTCAAGCAAATTTTTCTGTGGGCTGCTGAAAATAATTGGCTTACTACAGTACAGAGACTACTTTCCAAAAAGGACACTCATGTGAATACTAGGGATGATGATGAGTATACCTCTCTTCATCGGGAAGCCTAAGTGGACACTTTGACATTGTCCATGTGTTGGTGGCTCCAGGCAGATGTTCATGCAATAACTGTGAATGGCTGGACACCCTTGCACAGTGCTGATATGTGGAATAATAACAGAGTGGCTTCCTTCTTAGTTCATCATGATGCAGATACCAATGCCCAAACTAAAGTCCTCTTGACCCCCTTGCATCTTGCTGCTTGGAATAGAAATAGGAAAGATATGCTGGATCTCCTTCTATTGAACCATATATGAAACCAGGTCTGAAGAACTTGGAAGAAACTGCATTTGATATTGCCAAAAGGATAAATATGTATCACTACCTCTTTGAAGTTGTGGAAGGCTGTAAAAATTGTTCTCCTAAGTCATAATGGTTTGGTTAAGTTTCTTAAATTTCAAAAATGCCAATCCATCTTTGTGTCCATACAAAATATTTTCACAATACAAAGCAACTGCAATATCTTACTTTAAAAATTCATGGATTCCATCGTATTTTTCAAGTGAATTGCCTGACTTTGATGTCAAAATGTATTCAAGATTTGTTTGTATACATCTATAATGATTTCTGCAGGGTTTGTGATTATTTAAATCAGAAATCATTTTAACTTATCTGTTGGAATGAGTAGTACAAAAACTAAAAATATTTCTGGTGCTTGAATGAAAAAATTATATTTTAAAATAATCTGTTTTTTGTTTGTATAATGTACATAATCTATTTAATTCTCTCCTAGATGTAATACTTTGAATTCTACATTGTTTTATTATATATATAAGTTCATTACAAATGTGTTATTTCAGATAGCATTCCATATAGAACAAGTTTAAGATTCCTTTTTTTCCTAGGTCCTTATAGTATTTTATTTCTTTGGGATAAAATGACAATGTTATCAAATTTCAAAAGTTTTGTAAAGATTATGCTATGTAAAGGCCTTTCTAAGGTGAGGATTTAATGCATTGATGTCAAAATATCTTTCAGTTCAATGAATTACATGTATTGTTACATTTGTATTTTTTAATATTTTTATTGTGAAAATACTGTACAGTGGGGTTACAATTACATGGGCAAGATAATGAGTACATTTCTTATCAAGCATTGTAGCCTCCTCTTTGTTTACCCTTCCCATCCATTTCCATCCTTCCCCTGCCCCCCCCCTCAATCCTTGCCGCTACCCCCCCCCACACGCACCAAAGTTGTAAAGTTCATTTTTCGACATAACGACTTTATTTTTGTAATCAATTTTTAATAACTGTTTTTCATATCTTGCATCTGAAGGATGAAAAATATGGAATACTTCACAAATTTTCATATCATCCTTGTGCAAGTGCCATGATAATTTCTATATTGTAATTTGGGTAAATGTCCTGCTGAAGCGTGTAGTATCCTGTAGATTTAAGTAGTTAATGATGCATTCTTTATACAGGCATATATCCTTGGTTGACTGTTTGTAACTAGGAAACCTTATTGTTCCTAAAAATGCTATTGATCTTACTTCTCTAAAATTCTGTGTATATTGGAAAAAATTTATATTGTTTGGTCGATTGCTCACATTTGCAATTTTTTGTCAATGACTATTTTAAGTATTTTTCATCTTAAATTTGATCATACTTTGAAGCCTTTATAGCTAGGTCCAAAAGTGATTGCTTTTCAAGTATTTGTTTATAAACTGAGTTAGCTTTGTGGAGCTAATGGATTCAAAGTAAGCCTTGCTTAAGAGCACTTCTAAACTTCTGCAGCTTAAAAATTCCTAAATGAGGTCTTATTGGCAAAAATGTCTACCTGACCCTTTACTCTTCTTCCATGTAGCAACAGACCAACCAGAATATCTTACCCTGACAGCATAGATTTTCTTATTGGAACAAAAGTATTGTTAGTTAAAAGGGATCATAGAGAGATAAACAGTTAAGACAGAATCATTTAGACTAGAAGGTATTTTATCAAAATATATATATTTTTTTATACCTAACATTTCAAAAGTAGCTAAAGCCAAGAAGGTGAAAAAATTTTTCACATGCATGATTACTTAATGTCCTGGTCAGTCTACCATCCAACCAAGCAGGAATTTACACTACTGCCTTTCTTTCACGAAATATTTTCATAATTACAAGAGAAATCTATATGTTTCTCCTCGATAATAGGCCTTAAATTGGTAGTTTTTTAATCACAGTGTTTCCTCTTGTCTGTAGGCTGTAAAGCTACAAATGATAAAGCTTTAGGTCCAACTCTACCAAACACTGAGGTAGAAACAATGGAATAATACTTTAAAACACAGTTGCCTTTGATACCCTAACCACTGCAGAACATTGCAAAACATGTGCCTTATTCTTATATTATATATATTTATATATTGTATATTTATACGTGCTGATATTTTATTTCACACAGTGAAACTTACTAGAATTAATTGATAATTTGTCAAATAAATAGATATTTATTACAATAAATAGATTGGAATATAAATAATAAGTTTTATAATGTACATTAGAATATAGAAATTATCAATGCAATGTCTTCGTTATAAACTTTTGGTATGTTCTAAGTGTTCTTGATCTTCTGAATTCACATTGTAAAAAAAATTGTTTTCCTCTAATCTATAAGGGATTTTACTCTGCTGCTCTCTTTATTGTTTTAACTCACTGGTTCCAAAATGTTTTCTCCATATTTCTGAATCATTCCTACTGATTATACACAAATTTTGCTGATATGATATGTAAAAGTATCATTCTTCCACAGGACCCACGGGTCCTAGGATCCCATGTCCCAGTTATCTGCTTCATCAGATAACAAGGGCAAGATTTCTCATGCAGGCTCATGAAACATGCCAAAAGAAAGTAATTGAAAATCCATCTCAATTCCTTACGACACTGGAATTAGCAGTAATCAATTGTGAAATGCAATGCAACTTAAAATGAAAGATGAGATCACAAAATCTGAATGTACACTAATTCAAACTTTCAGTTTAGAAATGACCAGCCCATATGAGTGACCAAGATCACAACTGGCACAAAATTGTTTTTAATACCCCTCTTCTAATGATTATTAAACGATTTCAGTCCAGCATAAGTAGTCCAATTATGGATCTATCGTTCTATCCTAGAACGATAGATCCATAATTGTTCTACCAACGCTAGGAAAACTTGACTTACAGGTCAAATATAATTCACAAAAACATTAATTGAGAAGATCGTTAATGCTTCAAAATACTGGTACTTCATTAAAACTTGGTTTTGTAGAATAAAAATGTTATCATTCTCGGCCGGGCGCTGGTGGCTCACGCCTGTAATCCTAGCTACTCAGGAGGCTGAGATCTGAGGATCGTGGTTCAAAGCCAGCCCGGGCAGGAGAGACCGTGAGACTCTTATCTCCAATAAACCACCAGAAAACCGGAAGTGGCGCTGTAGCTCAAGTGGTAGAGCACTCGCCTTGAGCTAAAGAGCTGAGGGACAGCGCCCAGGCCCAGAGTTCAAGCCCCATGACCGACAAAAAAAAAAAAAAAAAGTTATCATTCTCAAACCAATGATAACCTACATTTAATCTCCTGAAAGCAATTTCCTTTTCTTATAATCTTTTAAAAATCACATTCACCAAAATAACATTTGACAAGTAGACGATAGTGACATTACAAATTTTTCAAGTTTAGGGTGCAAGTTACAATTGAGTTGATTTATTTACCCAGCACTAATGCCAAACAGGTTCAACCACTCATTAAAGTGTAGAAATAGTACCACCCACCATTTGTGCTGTTCAGTAGATTCCTTGCAGAAATGTGTCAAACAGAACAACCTCCCATAATTCAAACCCAAACACTAGCTAATAAATTAAGTTTCATCACTTAATAAGGTAAATTTTAAAAAGTCACAAGTAGTTGCCTTATCATATGTTGTTTTATGTTTTCCCTATCTGTCTAACATAGTAAGAAATATGACTTAAAGTCATGAATATGGGTACTCATCAGACATGTGAAAAACATAAAATCTGTCTTTTATTTCTACCATATTCTTGTAAAATAGGAAATCGTAGTTTTTTTCTTTTTTACAAAACTTATAATATAGAAAATATTATCCCATGTAAAATAAAATAATCACAAACATTTTACAAAGCCATTAATAGAATTTGTTAGTTAGGAATATATTCTAAGCCATTTTTTAACTTTGTTGTTGACTAAAGATTAATCTTCCAACTGGATGAGAATAAAATCATGTCAAAGTGCTTCACGTCTCCAGTCTTTCAAATTGTTATTGCAGATGAATGAATTATGGAAATATAAGCTGACATCAGTACAAGTATATACAGGATTGAAACTCCATGTAATGTATATAAACCTTTCAAAATATTAAGTTTAACAGAATGTCTATCAGGAAGTTGAAATCAGAGAGGAATAATAGTAAAGACATAGAATGAATGTAAAATGGAACAAGGGGCAAGTACAGCTAGAATACTCAATGTACACATGTGATAAAGGAAGTGGTAAATCTGAAATAAATCTTGGAGAAGGGGTTGGTTGAGAATGATAGAAGGAGTCACTCTGATCCAGGAATATTGGACAATTAGATGGACATATTTATTGTAATACACTTGCACAACCTTTTGAGATTTAATTAAAAAACACAACAAAAAACAAAAACACACAAAAATCACAACCAAACAGCACTCTCTAGAGAGGATGAATATGACCTCTCAAAATTTTAAATAGTTAATGAAGGGTAGTCTTGGGAAAAACAAATAAAGCTGTTCAAAGAGGGCAGTTTGGGGTAGCAGAGAATTTTGAACAGATTTAAATAGATTGTCTAAGGTTATGAATCACCTACATCTGCTGCAAATATTTTCTTCTGTGAGTCCTTTTTGTATGCAATGGATACTCCAGTCCTCAGCCACACTTGATAGCTTGTGAAGATAAAATGGAAGAAACAAGATAAATAACCCATTACTCTACTGGGGACAGAAGAGTCCTCTGTTTTCTCTCATCTCTCTTCACTACTCTTTCTTCATACTTTTAAGTCAAGTGATTTTGAATTATATCTTTCATTCTTTGTTCTGGCAAAGTAATTAGCCAAACTAATTTACTAAATATTATTTGCCATTTTTTCTGCCATGCTGTTTACTTATCCATGAGAGTCCATTAAACTTCACCCTTGCATTTGGTTGCCACGAAAACCCAATGTCTATGTTAATGACGACAAACTCTAATGTAAAACTTTGTCTCCAAAAAACCGTTCCAAGAAGCTGTGATCACAAATATTTAGCTATAATTTTTTTCTTTTACCTTGAAAGTCTTCTTGTGTCTGAAGTGCCACAAAAATAAGTACTCCACTACTTTTTGGTTCGATCACTTCGAACCTCAAATATTTTGCTAACAAGATGCTTAGAGGAAACCGTAGTTTACTTCACTTTTATGTTCTCTCTTAAGACTCTCCTTAGATACCATATCAGGATCAGTGAAGTTATTCTTTGCAAAATTATTTCAATAGATTAGTTTTTTCTTGGTCTTGCATTTGCTCAGCAAGATGTATGGAAAAGAATAGAGTTAAATGATCCATACCTTGGGTGACAGTGTCTGTTTCAAAGGACAATGCTTCTATGTCAAAATTCTATGTCCTCCTCTTAGCTCTTGCCTGATTTCCAATTAAGCACAGCTTCTTGGATTCAACCCCAGTGAAGCTGAAAGACTATAAGATCTCCTCCCCGCCCCGCTACATCTTCATGGTTTCTCTTTTAAACCTCTTTTAAGTTGCCTCATTTGGACATAGAATTTATTTTCCTGTCTTCATTAAATCTGTTCTGCATTGTAGTGAGGCTAATAGGCTCTGGAAAATCACTTTAGGTAGCAAAAATATTAAGAGACTTTATATAAAAAATTTTGGCCTCCCTCCACTGCTAATATCAATATGCTTGGATAGGGTTTCTAAGAACATTGTATTCTTACCCTTTCAATTTTCTCAATTCTTTTCTGATCCCAAACTTTTTGGCTTATGTAATAAGAGAATTCTTCACTACCTCATGTTGATAAGAATATTATTTTTTGTGAGCTACTTCGAAATGTGTAATCATTGGAGTATCCAATCAGATTTTTTTCTGTGTTTCAGTGCTTCACGTGCAGAGACATTGTGGAAAGTGTTACAAACAGAAAAGTGTGAACCCAATATATTCTTTTATTTTGGAGGGCACTTTCTCCCTAAATATTTTTAACCAAATTATCTTTTTCTAAGAATAATTTTGGTAATTAAAGGTCAATTCACATATTTTGATGTCTTAGTTTTTTTTAAGAACTTTGAATTTCACACAGTGAGAGTGTATTTCCTGGGTAAGGACAATTCTCAAGGGAACCTACAGGATTTACAGTAAGGTTTCTGAAGTTTGTATGTTTAGTGTGAAAATGAGCTATC